ATCTTTCTGCAGCTACTGTTGCATGACGCGAAGAGAAAAAAAAATAATAAACAAAAACGACAACCCAAGAGTGTTTGCAGCGTGCTTTTACCTTTTTTTGTTTTTTTGTTTTTTTTTGGCTGAAATGCAAGGAAAAGAGACCGTGTCAAGTGGGCGGCTTTTTATTGTTGTATTACTTTAAATTTTGTTTTCCCTTGTAGCTCGCATCACTACTTCTCTTCATGGACATAGATGACAGGTCTGCCTTTTTTATTTGTCCCAAAATGCACGGGCTTAACATTTTTCTTTTTCGAGTTGTCCCACAAAAAAAACCAACGGACAAAGAGAATTCAGTGGGAAAGCAGAGGGAAAGGCAAAGATTAACAAAAACGAAATAACTGAGAAATACATGAAACTGGATCTTGTGATCCCCGGCATTTTTTGGACAATAAATAAATGGTAATTGTTCTTTGGAGACTTTCTGTTTCGTGCCCATATCATTGTTTTTTCTTTTTTTTTCTGTCGTTGAAATTGTGTTTCTGTATCTTATTTTTGCTTGTCCCTGGACTGAAGGCGAGTATTGAAACTCTAACCGCAGCGTAGTTGCACACAAAGAGGCGGCCAAAGGCGCTAGGAAAAAGCTTTTCGGCACTTCCGTCCCGATTTCTTTTTTTTCTCGTATATGGAGTATGTATGAAAAGCGTGTGACATCGTTGATTGCTTGGGTGCAGGAGGTGCGATGAAACTCTATCCTGCCCCTTCCCTTGGCGTGGCGCTAAATTCTGGAATTAAGCCCTGTACTTCCTGCGACTGCACGCGACTCAAGACAAGTGGGCGGAGAGAGGGCAGAAGACAGTGTGACGACGCGAACCAACGACAGTTTCTCCGTGGAGTTGTGTTAGTGGACTCGAGATTCCTTTGAGAAGGTAGGCTTCTCTTTTATCCTTTATTTGGAGCTTGTTTTAGGGAGACGAATCCTGTGACAAGTTTTGTTGGAGGTGAAGTTTTTTTTTATTCCTTGCCCTGATTTTGCTGCGCCGCATTTTCCACTTCTTTGTGTAGTGACTCATTATGCTCATCTCCTCATGCAGTATGTCTTCCTCTGCCCTTTTTGTCTTTTTGTTTTTGCCCTTTCTCTCTCCCTCTCAGTATCCTTTTGGCTCGTGGTTGGTGTTTAGCTGCGGCTCAAGGCAACTACTGCTACAGCAAAGGGAAACAAGATTAAGAAAAGAATGTCCGCGCGGCGTATGGGAAGTTCACGCCGCTGGTGCGCAGGGAAGTGCCGCACCTAGTGCTCCGCGGGGACAGCGGCATGCAGGATCGGAACCCGACAGCGCAGCCCCAAAGGGTTGAAGAAGCAATGCAGCGACAAAAGTGGATCCTCACCAGTACGGTGGAAGACGTACTGCGAGGGAGAAGATGCTACAAAATAGGTAAAATCAAGCTGAATAATTTCTTCCCTAGCAAATTGGCCAGCAGAGGAGTCGTGAAGGCCAACTATGTTTCTGTGGGGGTGCTTGTTCGCAAGCCAGGAGAGTACGTTACAGACACGGCGCTTCTCCAGGACAAGCATTATCACAGAAACATAGTTGGCCTTCACGACTCCTCTGCTGCCCAATTTGCTAGGGAAGAAATTAGTCAGCTTGATTTTACCTGTTTTGTAGCATCTTCTCCCTCAAGCAGCACGTCCTTCACCGTACTGGTGAGGGCCCACTTTTGTCGCCGCATTGCTTCTTCAACTCTTTGGGGCTGCGCTGTCGGGTTCCAATCCTGCATGCCGCTGTCCCGGCGGAGCGCACCTCAGACTTCTTACGGTTTTGGACCCAAGCTCCGCTGTCGACGAAGAGCGCAATGCCTCGAAGGGGATGTTTGCCCATGAGCCAGGCGAGGGATGTCACGGAGCCGCGGATTACGAACGCTCTCAATGTACCGGCGCGTCGGCGTCGTGCGGGAGCACGCAAGCGTGTGCAGCTCGGGGTGACAACTCCTTAGCACTGGAAGCGCTGTTCAGCGAAGGCGGTCGACCTTCCTATTGCGTGGGTGAAACTCCAATCAACCCTTGGCGTGGCTGCGAAGGAGGGACACGGCAGGGCCAAACTTGAGGAAGCGTGTGCGAAGGTGGCAAATTATGGAGTGGAACGCGAAAGGGCGAAGCGGGACTCCGCAATGGCAGCTGCACCGGTTTACTCTGGGGGTCTCTGCTTGACGCGGGGTGGAGTCGCGCCGTTGTGGCTTCCCGAGGGGGGAGGCTGAGGAAATGGCGGTGCGAGTGGAGGTGAAGGAGCGACGACCAAACACCAACACGGTCGTGGGAGTACAATTT